ATCGGAATTTATTGGCGTTTCAACAACTGGGAAGTGGCAGAAACCTTGTGAGAAGAAATACATCATAATGCCTTAACGTTGTTGTCTGTTGAGATCAAAGCATTCCACTCTTTCCATTGGGCAATGTTCTGTTATTCCTTACCCTTGAAGGCCATCAAATACACACAAACCTTTATTTCACATATCTTTACGCTCATAAATTGAACACTACAAGACTCCCTACGTCTGAAATCTGTGTAATGAGACTCAGTCATCACGTTTCCAAAGTCTCATGTGGTACATTTCCCGAACACCATATTCGTTTCTGTATAAGAAAGCATCACTTATTGTAAAGACGTAACATCTAACATGCCTATGCTCTCTGGAGAGTCGACGTAGCGTTGGGATCACGTTAGGTTAAGAAGGTAATGCTGGATAATATTGGGATACTCAGCACTGATGATTAGGCGTCTGGCTTGGGTATCGTTGTCTGTGTCTTGTTCCATACTACTCTGGCAGCGACCGGTCATAATGACATCAGCTAAGTTATTTCAATACATTATCTTTCCAGGATTTATAGCGCCTCGACATCAATATCGCCTCGATAAAATAGTTATTTCATATTTAAGGTGCCAAGCAAAATACAGAAAGCGTTCAAAGAATTGAAGCATTAAAGGTCAGCACTAAAGATCAGCCGTTTTAATAGTCTCAACACATTTCTTTCATCTCACCATAAACACAGCTAGTAGAACATATATAGAATATTAACAAGTTAAAGCTATTAACATTTCAATATTATTTCAATGGAAAGTAGTATTTCTGCAGAAGGTAGATGGAATTTGCCGTGATGTCAGTTTCGACTGACTGGCCTACCATCATAATTCCATTTATTAGTGCTATTCTGGTCTCGTCACATGATGTTTATGTACGAATTCATAATAATTTTGCGGACCATTCTTCCTAAACCATTAGGCAAATGGTTTTGTTTCAGTAAAGTCTCCAGCCATTACGTATTAATACGTCTAGAAATCTCCTTAGCTCTGGATTTGGCGTTTGTGAACATGTGGCTGATTATAAGATCTTAAACACACAGTATATAGAATGCTGGCGGCGGGTACCTCGTGAGACTAAGTAGGTATATGAGCTAAATATGTACCTGCAGTCTGTGTTAATAATTGCTGACCGCCTAGGTTAGCAATGACACCGCCGGTTGACATTTTCTGATAACAAATACAAATAGCACATTCGACACTACAGAGATGGCAATTTTTTTGTCAAAATATAGATTTTGTCATCTCTATACCACCAACTTCTAGAAAGCCACTCAAACAAATCATTCGACACTACGTTATAATGTTTATTGACATCGTAGCAATAATGACGACATTGGGACCCAAGCAAGCAAATCGCCTACTTAGAAATGATGGCAAACAATTCGTGACGGCATCCGTTTACTTGAGAATTGGGGCGGTTGGGTAGCTTAGTGATTAAAGCGTTCGCTCGTCACGCCAAAGATTCCCCACATGGCTACAATACATGAAGCCCATTTGTGGTGTCCCCCGCCGTGATACTGCTGAAATATTGTTAAAAAGCGGCGAAAACTAAACTCACTCACTCACTACTTAGGAACTTCTGTTGTACTTCTCAAGTCCCAATGTCAGTCTCCAGTGAGGTCACAAGGAAATGAAACTAGTTATGATCAATTCGTTTTACCGTACAGTATATGTGAAGTGACATTTGACGACGCTTTTGGTTACAGGAAACTCCGAATCCCACTGTATATGCCGTGTACTTGGGATACATTCACCACCTTACTACGACCCTCATGCTAAAGCTCACCGAAAACACTTCCTCCCATAACAGGATTTCAACCCTATTTGACAACGAAAATTACAAGGCTATTTTGTGGTCTAATGCACGTCCAAAGTCATCAATCATTGTCCCTCGCTGTCAATTTTCGACCAGAGATGAGATTATAGATACGTCAAGTTAAAAGGTTATATTGTTCAGAGACTAAAATTAGGCGACGAAAATGTGGGACACTTTGATAAACTATAAAAATATCACAACTCGTAGGCGTCCTAATCGCCTTTAGGTACAATCACTGTCCAATTGAAAACATACCAGACTCGTTGTATGCTTATCCAGCAACTGCAAACAGCACATTGACGCAGAGACGAGGAGTCTGTTCCTGGACATGTGGTATACACACTATGCTTCAACACACATTCATTGACACCATATCTAATGACCTCAAAGATGCCCACAAACACAATCATTTACTCGGAAGGTAAAAATGTGTCGATGCATTAAACATCATGTTCAACTTCTTGACTATGGACGACACGGTTTGGCTCTTAAGACATTTTGTCTGTTTGCTGTCGTAAACGATTGTTGCAGTTTGGAACCTAATAAATGCATTTACTCCAATCGCCTATTTCATAATGAACAATGGATGAACATGATTTCCCATACGTGGAATATGGATCGATGTTACCCATCAACTGTCAACCTGATGTCGGGTTGCGCTTGACATTTTCATAGAACTATGGATTCCACTCTGTGTTTTGTCAGTTGCTTAAATTTGTTTTGATTTTCCAAATACCGAAGGACACAGACTTTTGAGACATTGAAGAATCGGTAGACTCTTTGGCTGGTATAAATGGCTAAATTATACGCACTGCATATTGTGGAATGGCGTGCTCTTAGAACTGTTCGCTCGAATGCAGATTTAGTATATTTTCATTGACATTTGACTAGCACATTGCCACACACAGTTTTGCTTTCTTCCCTTATTGGTTCTACTTCAGAACGGTGCGTGCAAGATATCCACCGACTTAATGATATATTTTTTACTTCTTAAAGTTTGATGGTGCTTAAAAAGAGGATCAGTGGCAAGACCAAATTTAGACCAAAAATAGCTTACCCAAGGCATATATGTTAAGTCAGGTAAGTCACGTAAAACTTAATAAGCCGGTATGGATATCGAAGCTCTACAATAATTACACTTAATTCACTACCGTCTGTTTCTGGAAACCACCTTCCGTGTTAACAGTACAGTGATACGTTGCATTCAGGGTATAGATTATTTTGGGAATTACCTATAAGAGCTGATGATCTTGTACCATATATACTTTTTGTATGGTCATATGCCCCGACTTCAAAATTCTTTTTTCTAAACTTTCGTTATTTGGAAGTAAAGAGGCCAAACCACATGTTCACAGTGGTAAATATAACCTGAAATTTAAAGCCCCACAGGCAATTAGTGGATTGCTTGCCGACAATTTGAGGCAAATGTCTTCGTTTATAATACTTTGAATTCGTTGTTTTATTATGTATTAAAAACTAAAAGACACTGCAAGGTGAAGATTGTTTGCTGTATCTTGGAATATTTTTACCTTAGTGATACTGAAATCTAAAGCTAATCAAATATTTAGGAACACTTGTTACGCCACTGCATAGCCTATAAATGTAACACAATTTGTAAATACAATTGCCAGAAGTCGCTATTGCTGATTACTAGGAAGCCTTGAATCGCCACTTTTATAAATCTTCATGTGATCTTTTGGCACCATGCTCGTGCTCAGGGTAGGTAACTACGCCCTGCGTCCTGTTAAAAGTCCATGACTAAATATAAGAGACAAAACATCTAAAATATTCACTAGCAACCTTTGCTTAATAACAAAAAATACCATTCTTATTCATGAGAATCGAGTCAAAAGTCGATTGTACGATTCTGACTCGTGACCCCTTGTTTTGAATCAATATCAAATAGGGATGATATCAGGAAACCCAGGTTCTATTCCCCACACGGGTACCATGTGTGAAGCCCATTTCTGATGTCCCCCCGCCGTGATATTGCTGGAATATTGCTAAAAACGGCGTAAAACTAACTTCATTCACTCAATCAATCACTTTATTGAACAAAGCACAACTCTTGAATATAAATACCCGGAAGAACTGAATCAATCCGAATCAATGTAATTTGTATATACGAGAGATTAAGTGAGTGTTGTATATCACAAGTAGTAATGCAGCTGTACTGGTGTAGACTCATAAGGCAAACCGGTGGCTAGGGGCATCAGCAAAGAACGAATTTCTGACTAGTAGATGATGCTTCTCAGTTGGATTAAAAATTTTAATGTCAAGTATGGCTTACGTGGGACATGTTCATACGCTGCATTGACGCCGTGCATTGTGTCCAATACATGAATCAAATGTGTTCATGATATGTGTGTGTAGCATATTTTATGTTTCGGATTAGTCCCATCCGGGATTCGAACCCACACCCTCAGAGTCAGGCACCTATTCGCCAGCACACAAAGTCAGCCGCCTAACCCGCTCAGCCACAGCCACGGTGGAGGTCGCGGTTGCTGAGCGGGTTAGGCGGATGACTTTGTGTGCTGGCGAATAGGTGCCTGACTCTGAGGGTGTGGGTTCGAATCCCGGATGGGACTCAACCTAAAATAGTACTAGAATTTGTACTTTACTAAGAAAGTGTAATCCCAAATATAACATATGGTACATTTGTCTACTTTCTAAATGGCATTGCGTAATCATGTGTGTGTGGGTGTGTATATCTATGTGATGTGTTTCTCTCTATGTGTGTGCGTGCGCGGGTGTGTAGATATATAATGGGTGTATATGTATGTTTGTGAGTCGATCGCGATGACATATCTGTATTTCACAATCTGAACGTGTGTGTGTGTGTGTGTGTGTGTGTGTGTGTGTGTGTGTGTGTGTGTGTGTGTGTGTGTGTGTGTGTGTGTAGCACATCAGTATTTCATAATCTGATCTCTGATCTTATGTTTCAGAGAGTCATTAGTGACCAATGATTTGCCTTTCACACTAATCCTTTTTTTTACTGCGGGATCGGCTGGTTGCACAGATTATAATCCTTGACCTGCCAGTATCAAATAATCAAGAAATGCCGTCAGTGTTAACATTAAACTGAGCGTGCCAAACACATGCTGTTCGTAGAGATGAATATCCAAACTAAAAAAATCACATATTTGTTTCAGGAAATGTAACAGTATTGATCGTCATCATCAAAAACAAAAGGATGAGGACACGGACTAACTTCTTCTTGGCCAACTTGGCAGTGGCAGATTTCCTTGTCGGCATCCTGTGTATCATACCAAACCTGTCCGTCAACCTTTCACCGAAGTGGGTTCTTGGCCGCGTAAGTGCTATGTCAATGCAGCGTTATTTCTCTATGTCTCTTTGCTTAGATGTTCGATACTTGTTACGGTTCTAAACGCTGATGATACATTCTTAAATATAAAGAAACGTATGGGACATAATGTGACTGTTGACTTTGTTAACTCATGAAACATTAAATACAAATGCAGTGGTTTAGTAAACGATATTGGTTACATGTTCGTGAACTGATGTAGTGCACAAACGATTCCTTGTTACATTTTTGTAGACTATAAACCATTGTTTACAAGATAAATAATCGTCCTAGTAAGTTTTATGTGCTTCACTGACTAACTGTCGATCTACTGGAAAAAGCAATCTGACAAAACTAAAAAAATAGTCAAATGTCATTGTGTCGAATAACTCGGCCCTTTGAACTTCGACATAATAGTAACTGACTATTGCATAACGCAAGTTTATAAAAGCACCACAATCCTTGCCATAATCGTTACAAATGTCTAAATGTTTTCCGAAGTTCGACGTGAGGGGAACATATATGTCTTACTATCACCAGCAGAAAAAAAACGTGTATTTGCTTTTCCCATAGTTAGACTATTGAGCTAGCGCTGCTTAACGTATCCGCATGTTCTATATCAAGTGATCGAATGGGACATGGGGAGGGGATGGGAGTAGCCGATACATATTGGATCCTTTCACGTTGCAAGAACCAGCTAGTCCTGGTTTGAATCCTAGATTTTTAGCAAAATGATAATGACAATGACTTTAATTGATATGGTACCCCTACACCCCCATGCCCCCCATACATAATATTTTAGCCCTGCGTTACTGTGCCCAAAAGATGACAGGCTGCGTTAGAAGGGAAATATTTTCTGGCAATGAAATCAACCCAGAAATCATTTACCAATGGCAACAGCAGTTAGACGGAACGGCACACATTGTTTCGACAATTTGGCACATAAAATCACTATGACATGTTATATATCATATGATGTAGAATTAAGAGAACATTTGATCCCCCAAAGCATACCAATATATATAGCGACCATTAACGCCTAGCATCAGGTGTTGCAAACAACATGGTCGTATTCCCTATTTTATTGTAGAGTTGTTACGTTACAAGATACAGCCACTCTACTGGGATATGTGTTCAAGCACTAATGCTCACTACGAGGTCCTTTTTGCAGTCTAACAGCTTTTAACACTATCCACTCTCATATGAGCATAATGACTAACCACTGGAAACTCATAGTGACAAATTAAACCCTCCGACTGTGTGAGAGTCTATGAGACAGTTTCATTTATGAAATTACTATATAAATGATAGCACAGCAGTTAATACAGGCGAGTACTGTGTGTCTTCAGTATATTTTCTATAGTATTACAGATGTCAACCTGATGTATTAATGGTATAGACAATGTCCTAATTATGTTGGTGGAGTTTCAGCTGTCGTTGGGAAAGCTTGTGCTAATGGTAGATTGAAAGCATACAGGCCAACAGGGAAACCAAAAGTGGCATTCACACTACGAGCTACTTTGGGAATTGACGCCAGAAGCCGTTGTTGTGTGGTCAGCGTTGTCCACGAGTCTATTAGGAGATTAACATATTGTGTTTTCAGTTTAGAACAAGGTTACATGTAACTTCAAAACTGAATTATGAAGCGAACAGGCAGCGATTCAAGTCAGAGATCAGTGGAGTTATTTGATGCCTGGTAAATCAAGCAGAATCGAAACTTCCATATTTGTGGTCAAAAGTTGCTAAAAACCAGAATTGTTCCAGCTGTATCACGTCGTTCTGTAAATAATGGCCTCTGCTCTATACAAACCATTGGCTAATAGAATGCCAAGTCTGTGCTTGAAGGTTTGCTGACCTCATCAAGACATTACTATGGGCAACGTAGGAGAGTAGTAAGACAGCACACATCAATCAAACTTTGGGGCGGTGGGATAGCCTAGTAGTTAAAGCGTTAGCTTGTAACGCCGAAGACACGGGTTCGATTCCCTACATGGGTACAATGTGTGAAGTCCATTTCTGGTGTCCCCCGTCGTGATATTGCTTGAATATTGCTAAAAGCGGCGTAAAACTCAACTCTCTCACTCAATCAAGCATCGTTGTTCCGAAGTTTGATGTGTCGGAAATACGACTGGCTTCCTACGTATTCCTTTTTTATTCATCATTTTGTCGAACACCGGATAACTCGAAGTATTTACTTAGGTGCTTTCGACTTCGACACAACAGTGTTTGGGTGTATTCAGTACAACCAGAAATTATTGAGAATTTAAAGATTGTAATTTTTTTACATTTTTCACTCATTACTCACGTATTAAATGTGAATATTAGCAGAACATAACTCCAGATTCAAAGACAGGTAAACAGTTAGTATTTTGTCAAGTCACCATGGGCACCAATGCAGGCTTCAATGCGGCGGGGCATACTACTGATCAAAGAAGTTAGTTAGAAAGTCGTGGTCCATGCTGTCCCAATATCGGACCACCTCTTCTTTCATTTCAGCAATATTTTGTCAGATTTTTCTTATTGACACTTTCCTTCATAAGTCCCCAAACATTTTCTATCGGATTTCGGTCAGGGCTATAGCTTGGCCAATCTAATAATGTCATATTTTTGGTCCAAAATCAGGCCTGTGAATGCTTTGAACGATTTTTTGGGTCGTTGTCCTGCTGGAAAATCCCAAAAATGTCCATAGAACACGTGAGCAGATGAAAGTAAATGTCCCTCGAGAATATCTGTGTACTGCTCACTGTTCATATTCCCTTCAAATACACAGATAGGCGTTGCCCCTAACACAGATATGCCAACACACACGTTAAATTTCGAACTGTACTTTGGGCGCTGATACAAAAAAATTCAGTTTGTTTGGTCCAGAATATCAGTGTATTAGGAAACAGCCACACAGAACTTTCATCTGAGAAAATCACATTGTCCCAGTTATAATTTCTATGCTGTAAGCACCAGTTCAACCTTAGCTCCTTTTGTTCAGGTTTCATGATCGGTGATGGAATTCCTCGACATTTCTGCCAACCCATTGCATGCAGCTCAGTTCTAATTGTCTCCTTACAGACAGCCACAGTTCCTCTATCAATCATATCCAGCCTTAAGTTTTCTAAACTCCTTCGTTTGTTTTTAGAAACAAAAATACCAAGCCGCCTCCTGTCACCGACAGTCAATTTTCTGGGCCTACCTGCGCCTCCCTGGTGCTCAATGCCATATCCATTTGCAATATTTTTCAAAACGCGATAAACAGTGGACAAAAAGATGCCTGTTCTACTTGAAATCACTTTAGCTGATCTGAAGTCCTTGTTATAATTCTCTAAAATCAACTTCCTCTTCTCTAAATCATCCATACTGAGGATCACTGAAAATGTCGTCTGCTATCCAGTAAACAAAGGGGATAACTCTTCACAAACTAATGAAAAGGGATTAACAGAGTTGTCTCTCTTGATTGAAACCATGCACTTGATAGCTGGTCAAGGTTGTTTATACTAGAAATCCAATTATACATATTCCTAAAATTCTCAATAATTTCTGGTCATACTATATACCCCAATGATAATTGTTCTCTCATTTGTGTGTCGTTTAAATAGAGTATCGGGTCGAAATGATTTTATGTGACTTTTTTAAAACAGTTGTCAAAATATATATATCAGCAGTTTAAAATGCTTATGACACATATACAGATGGGAACATATAAGTAAGGGAAGGAAACGGTTACACGAGAAATTGGCGTATACTTCTGTTCATATCCAAGAGATAAAACTATATTTAAGAGATACATTAGCCAGCTTTAAGTCAGTCACATTCGTTATTGACATGAAACTGGCCAGTATAACGGATTGCACACTTTAGTTTGTCATGAGTATTCTATTATATATTATATACATGTGTTTGACTTAAACCTACAGCACTGTGATGTAAAACTAGTACTAGATGTTTCTTAAAGCACACACTTTAATTCGCTCTAATTAACAATCAAAACGGAGGATTGAGTTCAGACTTGACAATAGTGGTTAACACAAATTGGGAAATCACATTTGGAGATCACACAAACATAATCACCACAAAAGATATGTTTAGGATACCTCAAAGTCAGTATCGTGTGTGGCCTCTATGGGCATCGATGACGGCGTTGCATGGTCTATATATGGAATGAATCAGCCGGTTGATGAAGGCCATAGGCACTTGGGTCCATACTCTGCGAAATACCTGATCGAGTATAGCCGCACTTGTCGGCCGTAGTTGGAGGTTATTCAGTCTTGTTTGAATCTCATCCCAAAGGTGTTCTATTGGACTTAAATCCGACCTGAGTGCAGACCATTGAAGGGTTTGGATGCCATGTTGTCTTAGGAAGTCCAATGCTGCTCTGGCAGTGTGAGCATTGTCTTGCTGGAAGATTTGGGGTCTTGTGACTTGGTCAATATAGCAAGCAGCTGTCAAGCCATTTCCTCGTCCTCGACCGAGATACTTGAACACCACGGGGCCATCTCCCTGGTTCAGACGATTGCATCCCACACTATGATGCTTGGACCACCCCACGAGTCTCTTTCACATTTCTCCATTGTTGATAACGCCAATTTCGATGCTGAATTGCCCATTGCAGTCGGTTTTGGTGGTGACGAGCGGTGAGGACAAAACCACGATAAGGTCTATGACAGCAGATGTTTCTTCCAGGCAAACGTCGACGCAGAACAGAACAGAACAGAACTTTATTGCTTGTCAGGCCGTAACACAACTGCATATGAAGATCACAGTGATTATACTAATGTATACATTTTGGTGACAGGGCTGGAAGTCTGAGTTTAAGGCATATAAGCTACAAGTAATAAATAGTAGTACATAATACTTTCTTTTACACAGAGGACTTACATCTAGATTTTCACATACATTTTACAGAAAAAAGTGACTTTATAATTCACTTTCCCAGTGACTTGTACCTGGACATGACAGTGCTACAAAAAGTACATAGTTTTCGTAGTTGATCATTTTTTCATTTTGAAACAATTGACAAAATTGGTCTTTTGTAAAAGTAAGGTTTAATAAATCGGTTTCTGGAATCAACAAAATAGGGACATTCTAAAATTGCACGGTATTCATCACCGACAGAGGTTTTACAGAGAGTACATATACGCTCGTGTAGAGGTACATCATTCCAACGGCCGACCTCAACTGGTAGACGGAGATTAGATGTACGAAACAGAAGCAATTTATTCTAGCTGTTTTGTGGTCAAATGCTTAAATAATTTTCAAATCCAAATTGTGTCTTAAAGATCCGGTTATTTTTTGCCTTTGAGGAATTAAACATATCTGAGAACCAAGTCTGTACATACTGATCCTCTACCCTTACTCTGATTATGTTTGTAAGAAATGACAATGAATCATGGTCCTGGTTGTACCATATGTACAAGAAACCTGTCTCTGTGAAAATAGACTCCAGACATTTTATCCATTTATGTGGATGATTTCCCAAGTAAGGATCAGCATACATGAGTTGAAAAAACGCAACAGATACTTTGTTTTCTCTACCAGTCCGCAGACGTGCCCAAAACATAACCATTCGTGTATATACAGATATATAAAGCGGTTTTCGTCCCAACTCACTTATTGTCAATTCCACTTGCTTTGTGGTTTTTCATTTTGGAAATCGCTTTATCTATCTCGCATCTATCAATAGGTTTGTTAAGAGTTTCGTCACTTTCGATGGATTGTCCCATTTTCATAGTGTCTTCTTCGTCATGAGTCATAAACAAAACCCAGATTCAGGTTTCTAAAATGTTCGCCCAAAACTTGATCTGGTAATTTTTCATCCCTGTACTGTATCGGCACTAATGGGTCTGTTGTGAGTCCCAAAGGTCTGGCGTACTGTTTCTGTCGCTGATGGTTGCGCACAATCTGTCGGTCTTGACGTTATGATGCTACTAAAGGTCGCCCACTGCGTTGACGGTCTTTGATGCTGTTAGTGCCCTGATACCGCTCCTGCAGTCGGTAAATTGTCCTAACATGAACATTAAAATGATTGGGTACCCTCCGAGCAGTCTGGCCAACTTGCAATCGTCCGAAGGCTTGGTTCCTCTGATCTCTTGTAAGTCGTGGCATGGCAATTGTGTCCAAACAAGAATGATTTCAGACCAGTTTGGGACTAGCTTTCATTGGTAGGGTTGCCACGATATACACGTGCATTTTCATTTTCACGAATGTCATACGAAACCTTCTACCACGTATGCCTTTATGTGCGTTTGGTGTTTTATCAGAAAACACATTGATAGATGCACAATTTGGATTGAAAAACATGTTAACAAAACACCACCTTGTAAAAACAAAATTTGGCATTTGGTTTTAAAAGGAGACGTTTCTTTTTGCAGTTCAGTGTATTATATGCTGATGATGCCAAGTATTACTACTTTGAAACCAAGACAATAAGTCTATCCCTTCAGCTGGCATGCAGCACCTCTTCGATACCAATGCGGTAATTAAACTATCAATCGTTTCAGTTTGGGAGTAGTACTTGTAAAGACAATTTGCCCAACTTCTCAAACCAGGCCTTAGAGATACTGTAAATCACATTACTAAAGCTCATTTATTCGTAATTGTTTTCAGTTATTACTTATGGGAAGTCACAGTGCTGTAAAGATACTTAAAGACGTTTGTTTAAAACGTGTAACCTTATCGCAATGAACCTTTCTTTCCTACCGACATTTTAAACGAATTTCATAAAAAAAGACATTTTTCTCTGCAGTCGTTCACTCAAGGCTAAACTAACAACTAGTATCTGAAATGAACATACTTTACAGAAAAAAAAGGTTTATAGTTAAAAAATAAAATGTAATGATAAAGAGCTCTGAGATTTTTTTCAGTTTCAGAGACCCTGAAGCTGTGGAAATCCAGACTTGCCACATTTTCTAGACTTGCGTGGGCTTTCTTGGATATATTTGCTTCGGGATCTGTATGACAGACTAGCTCAAGGCATACTGCGTCATGTAAAACCATCTAAACAGTGGCTTTGAACTTCTCTTTTCTCTTTTACCGACGCCCCACTTACATTATGTACATTTGAGTTTGTTTCACTGAAAAGTTTAACTTCATAAATGAAGCTATCCAACTGTAATTATTGCCATTAACTTTTGAAATTGAGCTTTATCAAGTCAAAGTATTAACGACCTTGTAATTTTAAGCCACACTCAATGTATCTAAGGTACACGCGGCTATCTGTAGACAATCGAGCCAGTCAAACAATTGATGACAGGCGTCGATGGGGTTGGGTGTCGATGGGTTTCTTCACTACATCGATCCAGTGTTGTTGGAAATCAAAGAAACAACTGAGAAAACTTATTCATTGTCTGATCTGGATTTAAACAAAGAAATTCTGAATTGTGGCAGTTTCTGAATCGAGATGTGAGACATCCGTCGAACAATTTACGATCAGTTCCAAGTTATGTTGTATAGATATCTCAATTACTTAGGTACGTTGTTTTCAAAAATCACGGAAAGGCACATTTTGTTTGCTACTAAACTTTTCAATCAAGGAAGTCAACTGGAAATGACATTCATTGATGTTTACTTTGGGACCAAGTATTTAAAAGTCGCTTTTTTGAAAATGCAAATTTCTTCTGTGGATTGAGAAACCGAATGTGTAAAAATGTATGTTTTTTCATCATCAGATTTTGTAATGTTCGCACAGTCAGCAGGTTTCTATTTCCCCCACATCTGTCTGTTTAAAATCGAGTATTCCCCAGGTAGACCAGTAACTTATATTTTTAGCAAGGTCACTGTGAACTGATGCACTATCAACTAAGTCCCCGAGCCTGACGTTCCAATGCTGTTCAGTCGCGCGGGATTGTCGCTTATGAGAAATGGATGTATATGTCCATCCTGTTAACTTCTGTTTGGAGGAAATGCCACGTTTATATTTCTTAGTTGCTTTTGAAAACGAGACATGACAATCCTTTGCTTGTGCTCTTTGTTTTGTTATTGCTTGCTACACGCACATGCTGGAAATACTGACATGGAATGTAAGAATATAAAAACATATGGTGCTTGTCTATAAATATGCATGTACCGAAACCCCATAAGGACCGGATTACGCCTCTGAAACCCTGGATTGCTAGTTGTAAGAAGCGTCTGAATTACCTCCCATTTGTTTCCATTCGTTTTGAACTTTCTTTTTTGGTTCTTTTTTAAATCGAATATCGTTAAGACAGAAGAGTAAACGATACTTTGAGTAACATCCCTTGACGTCGAGGTTAGGTGACTAACCCTATATCGCCTCTTACAGGATATACTTAGCGTCCTTGAGTGCTGCCTTCTGATGGGGGAATGTCGGTTTGCGCAGCTGGCGATATATACACGCACATGCTTCAGGTGCTGACACGTACATTAGACGAAACAACAGTTATTGGACACCACAGGGACCGGATTATGTCCCAAGAACCCCATCGCTGGGCCTAAGACGCGATTTACTTACATATCCATTCACATACGTTTCCACCTGTAAGGCTCAACACCATTTTGACTTTTTCTTCCTGTGGACTTTGTTTGACGAGTTTTTCCACACGGAAAATCCTCTGACATTTGAATTTAACTACAACCGAAAGGGTGATAATGGTTTGTGACCTACCTGAGTGGATCTTACATGCTGTGGGCAACTATTCCTCTGGTCCCAACTTTCATATTTATTGTCCGATTGGTCAAGAGTGTAGAAGACGTTAACGGTTTTGTTAAAACCAGGAACTGGTACTGACTGACTGACACGGTAATACACAAAGACAGATACTTGATAAATTCAACAAAGTAAGGATAAGTGGCACTTGACATATTATATCTATGCACACTTTCAGTCACTTATCCACCAATCATCCTGCTGGGATAATCAGTTAGAGTACCTGTAAAAATAATCATAATGCTTGTAGGAACTAGAAGCAGCAACGCAGTTAGGGTAATTTGTAATGAATATGCATCACACGATATATTTGAACTCCTACACTCAAACAAAGAAAGTGCTTCTTGGAAACAATGACAGAGTCCTGACAACTCCTGCACAAAAGTCATAATTCTAAACTCAAAATATATAACACTATAGTTTTCGAAAGGCATTTAGAAGTTGGACGAACATGAAATTAAACATTACACGTTTTATAGATAAAAGAATATAAGAAAGTAGTTATCTATAATACGTGTCATGTATTCATATAACAGTAGCTGCCTAGCGAGTGTGGTTACAAATCCCGTAACCTGGCACCTTGATGAGTTGTGTGGACAGATGGATAATCTTCAGAACTACATACTTTATATCATAGTTACTGTTAAATGAAAGTTTAACAATAATGTCAAAAACAAGGTTTTTGTCAAACAATGTAAACACCCAGCCCCGTCCTTATTTTATGTGAAATGGGCCATATCAATTTCAAATTCAGTATTATTTTGGTTATGAAATTTATATTATGTGTGTTCTCTTTTACAGGCAATGTGCAAGATTTATTACTTTGTACAGAACATGAGCTACACAGCTTCAATGTTGTTTCTCGCCGTCATCGCCATTGAACGTTACGTTGCCATCATGTATCCCCTACGGTCACGTCAACTCTTCACCAGCGTTCGACTCCAGATAGCCCAGGTCTTCATCTGGCTCGTTGCATCCGCCTCCAACGTACAATTACTGTTCATCTTCGATATCCACGGCACGGGGGGCTCCGACGGTACTTATAGCGAATACTGTTTTCACACTGCTTCTATATTCACAATGCGAGCTCTCGCTACGGTCAACATTGTTCTTTGGTATACGGTCCCTCTCGGAGTAATGGCGGTTGTGTACACTCGCATTTCCATTACATTATGGTCCACAAGTAAAAACGCTTTGGTTCAGTCAAAGGAAAGCGATCCCCACAAGAAAGAACAACATATAAGTGACAAGAAACATTGTTCGTGTGTAAGGTTGAATGACAGCCACAGCAGTGATCTCGACGACAAAGAAGTAACAAAAGTAACATGTAATACAGGTGTTACAGAAAATAGTTCCTCGTCTGAGACACGAAACGAAAAAAGCTTAAAATCAAACCTACGTAACGGAAACACGAACAGCAACTGCTGTCATGATGGTCGACGTTCTCCGAATAAAGTCAGATACTGTCTTCCCCACGACAAAGACCATGCATACAAGCAGGAAAAGAATAAATCGCATCTGTCAACTAGTCAATCACTGTCGCCATGGCAGATCCGACGTTCCACACAAGCCCGTCAGTCACCTAAACTTTCAAAACGTGACTCGCCCAATTCGCTCAAAATGGAGGTATCCACCGACATGTACAGTGAAGTGACATTTAGTGAAGACACGGACAGTATTAGGAGCCGGGTCTCTGTAAGGAGGCCGCGCAATACACGGATGAGTTCCCGCAAGGCTCTGTCCTCGAGACGTCGGGTTATTAAGTTGCTCATGGCGGTTCTAGCCACGTTCGCCATTTGCGTTTTGCCACATCACTTGCGCCTTCTCCTTCACTACTGGCAAGTATTCCCAGGACCAAATGTCAGCCTCTTGCCCCCGATAACATCCATAATGCTCTATCTCAACAGTGCCTTGAATCCCCTTCTGTATTGGTTGTTTTCAGACAGCTTTCGACGGAGTTTCAAGGATACGTTTTTCTGTTGCCGGAAAATGTCTAAAACTGGACGTTACACCGTCACTTAGAATATATTGACGGACAATGGTGTTTCATTCTATGTGATTGACAAATACATCAATTCAATACATTATTAAAAGTGTTTCCATTTATTGAAATAACTGTGAAAACTGACTTTTCAGGTGTGACATTCGTGGCGTGAAAACTGGTCATTGTTTTGTAGACGAACGTCTTGGGGTGATAAGGAGACGAAATATGTCCATACAGTACATGTTGTAGTGTTTTTGACGACAGACATATCCACAAGCTCAACCCTCGAGCTTTTTCTGGTTGAAGGTCCGTGGCATATTGTCGTGTATAAATACAAGTGTTCTACTATATAGTGCTTGTACATTAACATGTTGTTTACAATATCGGGTATTATACATATATGTCAAGTGTCTACGTTATATGATGTTTTGTGTCTTATAGAGACAATCTCCTTACCCGAACTGAATTACCTGAAATAGCGTATCGATTGAATTGCACGGTTGAATTATTTTCACTCAGTGATCCAGAGATAGATTCATTATATTCCGTTTAGCCACTTGAATTATAGTTAATGAGTGTATTTGTACATGTATCCTGTGCTATAAGCCATGTCTTTCATAATGTTATAGTACCGGTGAACAGAGAGAGAGAGATGTGTTACTGTTATTTTGTCTGATTGGTAAATTGCTCAATCAGTTAGATTAAGTATATGTTTGTCATATGTTTGTGTTGATCATGTGTTACAGAGGGCTACTCGTTGTATTGTTAAGTTAGTAGCCGTGTTTGTGGTGTTCTTGTAACATTGGCCACACAGGCAAAACAATCGTGATATGTGTGATAGTTATGCAAAATTAGATTGGTGATTCTCCTTTGTAATACTGAGCTATATATGCGGAAGTGTCTGGTTTAAAACACATTTACATCGCATTGTATATACCGGAGAAGATCCGGGTTAGAACTGGTCTTGTCGTAAGAGGCGACGAGCGGGGTCGGGTGGTCAGGCTCGCGAACTTTGTGGACATCGTACCCTAATTGCTTATGTTGTTGATTACTGGATTGTCTGGTCCAGACTCGATTATTTTCAGACCGCCACCATATAGCTGGAATATTGCTGAGTGCGGCGTTAAACAACAACAAACAAAACAGTTACATGTATATTAAACCAACACTATACATTCTTCAAATCAAAACCACAGGCATGTCTCCAAAACATTAGAGGTCGTGACACCCAGTATTTCGCGTCCAATAGCATATTAGTACATTAAGGCACGGAGCTATAGTCTGTTTGCAGTGAAAACGTACCGATGAATTTCACTTTAAACAAAAAAGTAAATCAAATAAAGTGAAATTAAGATTGCGAATCCTCATAATTTTACCTTGCCAGATGAACTTTAAAATCTCAGAGTTTTATACAACTTAGGATAAAAGTTGTTTAACAAACGATCATAGGTTCAAATTGCTATAATTAAAATCGCTATTTTGAACCACTGGGATATTACATGCATGTATGGTAATTTCGATAGACAGCCCAAACTAAAAACATAATTTATGCAACCACATTGGTAAACTGAACTAAATGGATGCTAGTTATAGATAGCTTGTCGTTACATGAGCTTTAGTCTGGGTTTTTCATAATAATCATGATAATCATATGCTGTGCTGTGACAACAAACTCAATGTCTCAATGTCCGATGTACTCAACTCACTGTTATAATAACTTTTAGTTCAGTTTTAAAGTTCAGATTTCAAAAAGCAGCATTGGCCTTTCTTCGCTATCCAATTATACTAGTAATCAATTTCTTTTGAAGAATTTCCATGGATATTTAAGCAATGCAATTCGAAGCTGATAGAGTTTCTTTGTGTGTGGCAATCCTTGCGTTGATTTCGGCAAGGTTGATTTCTGAAACCTGAGCTGTAAATTAAAAGTCAGGTTGTATCAAAAACACAGCATTAGTTTTGTTCTCAGTAGCTTTTCGATTTCATTCCCCTTCATGGAAACTATCACGTCAAAACTTTAAACAATGTTTTTGTGGATCATATTGAAATTAAATCCACCATTGAAGCATAAAATATCAGCACTTCGCGCCAACAACACATACACAGACTCCGCAAAGATTCAACTGCACTAAGGTCACACAAACAATATGCTCGGCACTGTGAAAAAACTTACATGAAATCTATGTCTGTTATGCGTTTCAGATTTATACTGAAGTAACAAGAATATTTGATCACAGTTTGAAGCAGGATCATCGTTTAGTAAACAGCAGATACTGCCATGGATCATCGCGTGAAACACGCATTGGTAAAAGCCGCCGTTTCTCGGTGTTAATCGATATACTGTGATTTATTCGGAGTTGATGAAATTGGACGTCCTGGTCAACATTTTATCACATCATTTGTTGCCCAGTCAAGCAAAAATGTCAGGGCACGACATGCGTGTCTTTAACGTCAAATGGCGAGCACAACAACGGCGATAGTTATCTCCCGGGTCCTGTGGATGAACTGTTGGCTGATGCGGTGTCAGGCTGGCATATACAGGGGGTATTATATATGTGTAAAAGTTCAGTAATTTCAGAAAAGTAACAAGATCATTGCTCCTCACTTAACACCTGTTAAGTCCGTAGCTCTGGTTGAGAACGGCCGTGTATTTCCCGGCTACAATTCGTTGTACTTTACTTGTGCTAAATTGATGGTAACTCAATATATTTGGCAATTTCCAAGGTATAGATCACTTCATCTTCTGAGTGACTTTGGTTTCTGTGATACTATTTCGAGAGGTCACATAAACTTTCACTTCAACCATGTTAATAGTGGTAGTGAAAGAGTAACTGACATCCATGCCTTCGTCTTCGGTGTCATGGTAACACATTGACAACAATGCACGCGGTCACTCATTTTGATTTACATAATATAATGGTTCCGCTACATAAGAATGTATAGTATATTCTATGAATATGTTGATTTAGGCACTTTGCCTCGTATTCAATATATTTTTTATGGTAAACTAACTGTACAAGGAGCATTACTTTAGGTACATGAGGTCAATTAACCTACATATGGGATATATATTTGCGAAATAATTTGAAATCTTCTTAAAATATGTTTACTTATTATAAATACGACAACACAAAACAGTATGAAAGTAAACGATGTCTATGAAATATGACCTGAGACTTCGCAATCCAACTGTAACGCTGGGGACCGAAGCGTCATATAAGACATATAGCGTCAAATTACACAAGATATATCTACTTCTTAAATGAGAACACGAACATTGACATTGTATTACGTTCCCCAAAACGCCTCTTCATAAAGATGCATGACAATGAATAATATCATAAGTTGTGTATTACATGTTGGTTGCGTTACAATAATACTAAAATAAATATCCAAACGATAGCGTACAGGAAGAGTCGCAGCGGAGAGCGAAATCAGTCGCACCGGAATCTAGAGCCTCTGCATCCTCAGCCGCTAACTTTGTCTATTCTGCGAAGCCAATAAGGACAGACTGATTCCACAGATGACACTGTGTGTCGATAATAACAACTGATCAACGTATACCGTTATAGTAGTCACAAATGTTCAAATAATAGCAATACATAAACACTACCTGCATAAACTTATCATTTATCTTTGGTGCACTCTCTCCTTCGGTGAAATAGGTCCACCTTTATCGTTTCTTTTTAACATCGTTAAATAATCAGCATGCAGGTGAATGAGAAATATAGTTATTGGCGCAGGTAACTTTGTATTTATTGTTGACCAATATGTCCATTATTGACCAGGTGGTATATACATAGTTCACAGTATATGATTTGTATGTACTTCCGTCTCGGTGACGCTATTAAACGTAGAGTAAACAAGCATTGTTTCTCGTTGCCAACCACATTGTATTTAAGCCTGGATTCTAGTTCCTGTTAAAGGTGGATCCCTTCGAAACGCTCAAGGAACATGAGTCCTATATGTATATGCTTGGGACAAATGAACATTGTGTGACATTGTTAGTATCCAAATGAAGAAAATGTTGCTATGTAGCATCGTATTAAATTAACTAAAGCTGATAACGAGAATCAAAAACATTACTTTGACCCGATTTATTTCGACTTTTTTTCTTATATCGACCACAACATTCTGTGAATACACCTTTTTGAGATCCATGCGTGTTTTACGTGTCTTTTTTTCGAAACACAGACTGTTTTGATAGAGTGTGTTTATGTAACAGTATATTGGCTATTTTTACGAGAGTACACAGCAGTATTCTCTCTGGACCCTTTCAAATATTTGTTGATCTACTTATTAATGAGAATTATCTTGTCAACATTTTGTATCATTTTAGGTGTGTGCTGATTTGAACAGGATAAAACCGATGTATTTCACGCAAAACCTTTTTTCATGGTTATAAGAGGGTTCTGCAAAAAGTGTAGTGTTTTGTACTGTTGACATTATATTACGATGATGATTTTGTGAATCACTATGAAATAGTGATGATAAATCACTGGTGTTTCTATCCTACCCCAACCGGAGTCACTTGTCACAAACACATTTATAGAGACAAAAAGTGAAAACCAGTGCATCACACATCACTTCTGCTACTTGATGCCCTCAAATTTGGAAACCTCCACCGTATGTCTACCATAAAAAAATGAAAGTTTCACTTACGGCTTTGACGGTTGTAATTGTGATCAATCTCTCCAATAAGGTCCGTTTGGCGATCTTTGAATTCCTACTTGAAGAAGGAAGCTGGAATGTACAATAGCAATGTGAAATGTAGACACCAAGGGCTGTAGTTGCGTCTCATCTTAAAATTTGAAAAGTGAGTGTGTGAGTTAGTTTAGTTTTACGCCGCTTTTTGCATTATTCCAGCAATATCACGACGGGGGACACCAAAGATGGGCGTCACACATTCTACCCATGTGGCGAATCGAACCCGGGTCTTCGGTTGGACGAGCGAAAGCTTTAAGCACTAGGCTACCCCACCGCCCCAAAGTTTGAAGAAAGAGCACAGTAATGATCTGCACGTTTGATTAGACCCACTGTAGTGTTTAGTTGACATGTAGCATCGATACTTTCTTTGAGGTGTCCGCCACGTTGTATACGATTGGGGATGTTGGACTTCTCAATCAACCTGAAAACATTTGAAAATTCAAACTTCCATGCTTCACTACACATAGTTTAAAGTTCGGAACAAATATACATGTTACATCACTCAAAATACATACATGCAGCAA